TGAATAAAAACAAAAGGAACACTTCAAGACAAGCATACTTATTGCATTAAGATTTTCATTAAAAAATAAACAGGTTTCTAAATGCAAGGAATGTTTAAAAAACGAGCAAGAATGCAAATGAAAATGTAGTAAAGAAACCAATGATTACCATTGTTGAGGAGACTTGACTCCGTATAGACTTCTTGATTCTGACGACTCCCTGCAGTCTTGATGCTTAAATGGGCGAGAGAGTTTCCCTTCTGACCTGATGTGAACACAACAGTCTCTGAATTGATCCCGTCTTGGACCTTGTCTCTAGATGACATACCCTCTTCGATCGAATGGCCAGGTACCCCGGAATAATATTCATAGAATATTCTTTCAGGAGAACGAATGAATGCTTTACCGAGCAAATTGGTATGAACTACATCACCAAGCGTCTTATGCCACAAAGAAACAATACAATTCTTCTTCCATCACAACATAAGAGACATCCAGCTGGTGAGAGAGAGAGTCTGGTAGTTGTCCAAATAGGAATTCGACTTTTGGAAAAGAAGCCAGACAAGTGTTGAACTTTATACTTCTGAACTTTATACTTCAACCCCTTTATAATATTCGACATCAAAACCGGGTGCCCCATAATAGGGGATACATCTAGCATGTGTATCACAATCAGGAGAGATGTTTGTGGGAGGAGGACCCCAAAGATTATAGATTTTCCAATTGAACTTCCAACAGGTGAGTAAGGATGTAATGCCCCGGGATCGCATCAACATGCTCACCAGGCTTTTTATGTCTCTGCTTAAAAGTTTTCCCCCATGAATTCACTTAGGGAACAAAGACTGGTTGTTGTCGAATAGATCATGGAACACGAAGCTGTGGAGAGTGCCCCTGATTAAATAGTCAGATGTTCTGGCATGGTAACCATCTGACGTTGGTATCATGATCTGGAAGGGAATTATAGACGGTGTTGAAGTACAGGGTCTAACCCACTGAAGCTCAAACAAGTGTGGAAACCAATGAGAATGAAGTATTGATATAAGATTAACTCTTCTTCAGGAGTATTCTAATCTCGTTGGTAAAACAAATTTCTTGAATTCACATAGTAAATGGGAACCACCTGCTGATAAGATGTTCCAAGAATTCAAGATCCTGTAGCACTCCATGGTTGAAAGAAATTCCAAAAAGATGAGGAGAAGAGAGAACCTCGGTTGTGGTAATAAGTGTAGGATTGTTGATATCATCATCAGGGCTTTCACGACCCGGCTCACCTAAGTTTTCAATCAATTATCTTCCTTCTCGAAGAATTTCTGACCACAGGCCAAAGCTTGCATGTATACCATTCAGAGTTATTCCATAACTGATCTCTGAACATGCACAGTAAGAAATCCAAATTTGTAACTCTAAAGAGAATACCGAGTCTGAATAAGAATCCCCAATCTTCAAGTACCTGTTATGGATGCATGAATATGCATGGGGTGCATGAATAGATGCCATGTCATGTTCCGTAATTTCCAAAGAATTTACATGCTTTGATTTTGATTTTACATAGGTAAGGGATGGAAAAGTTCAACACAAGACTTACAAATATGATTCCCTAGAAATAACAGAACATGCATGTTAAGCACGTGGTTAACCATGTTATGTATGTAAAGACACGGGATCAAAGTTCCATCACTTCTGAATATGATTGTTGCATTGTTCTGAACCATATGAATATTACTAGGTCAGAGGTATGGCATAGCTTCCGAACATATAAGAACCAAGTACCATGTAGATAATCAACTGTACGGAATAAAGGCTTCTGGAACACCCGATATTATTGAGCATTTTCTGAACATGTTCAGAATACCAAGATTGAAGGCCCAAATGAACCTCCAAATAAACAAGTTAGGAACTCATAAAATAAATTCGAGAACCCCATAGTCAGAAACAGAACAAACGATCACCATATGAACATAGTCACCATCAGAACAAGTAACGAACGGTACCTGTGAAGATTATCCCCTCCCCACTCACGGGTAAAGACTAGGTCATGGTAACCCAATGGTAACTCAAAATCCCGGGTCCGCCTAAAAGCACTACCATAAAGCTACAGACGTGGATGACGATAACACTCCATTTAAACCTCATCTGAGCATAGACGACATGACTGTGCTGGTAGGACCTTCGTCCAATAGCAGTCATGTTCTACTCTATTCCTAGGTTTCCTAGATAGTGCACTCTAGCCTGGATACTAGGCCTTTTACCTCGTAGTAACACCCACCTAACAAGAAGCAGATCCAGTACAACAGTAGTATATGGAAAACAGTAAAATGTAATGCATACATATGCTCAGGTAATCATGTATGGATGAATAAACTGTAAAGAATATAAATAAACACCCAAAGAAAAGAAAACAAGAGCTAGGAGTGACTCCAAGATGAACCATCAATAGATCGATCTGTCCCCAGTGAAGTCGCCAACTGAAATAATCGACTGAAAAATAACCAGACAATGAAGTCTCCATCGAACATATTTTATCCCACACGAAGGGAAAGGTAAACATCGAGAAAACCTGAGAAGTGAGAAGTCATGGTCTTGCAACCGAGAGATCGGGTAAGGGAGTCTGTTACGCGAGGGGAAGGTATTAGCACCCCACACACCCGCAGTACTCTACAGTATCCACTCTTTTTATCTATCTTATGGGTGTGTTTAATCTATGCTTATTATTTAACACTAAGGAAGAATGCATGTAAAAGAAATGAGAAAATAATATAGGAAAGATAAAGTTGTGCTTGCTTGGACCCTATCCCAATGCCTACATATCCTTTATGAGGAATCAGAGTTACTGTAGTTTGACTCATATGTTTTATTTTTATTTTATTTTTATGAACAATGTTAATTCCACCTTCTTCCATAGCTCGACCTTTGGAGACTCACGTGTTGGAACAAAAGTAAATTAACATGTCCATACATGAAAATGGTTTTGAGTTACGCCCTTAAGGCAAGATGCCACATTTGATTGGTTTGTGTTTTGTTATCTTTAAAAATGGTTTAAGTATGATTAATATGTTCTATGATTTGCTAAGAAAACAAAGTTTTAGTTTTAAATGTATATGAAAAAGGGGGAAGAAAAGAGTCTATGGAAGACCAACCTATTTCTAATCCTAATGTTATCATACAATTGTAGTCATAAGGTTTGGATTATCATAAGGAAATGTATACCTAATGTTAGCATGCATGGTTTGCAACCTAAGGTCTAACTTGCATCCGAAAGGAACAAGCACATCCTAAGGGAACATGGTATATTAAGCGAGTAAGCAATCAAGCTCGAAAGAGCATACACATAAAATGGTAAAGAAAAGAAGTGAAATGCTTAGAAAAGGAGAGCGTATCATCTGAGACAAACAAGCGGGAGTGAAATATAAAATAATAGAAATGCTTTAGCTAAGGGGAGCGGATCACGTGAAGCAAATAAGCGGGAATGAGATGTAGAACAAAAATGTGATGTCCAAAGCAACTGAACACCTAACCAAGATATAGAAGATCGAGGTAGGCGATAGAAGAAAATATGAACTATCATAGAGTGCCAGCATCGGCCAATGCAAACTCCTGACAAGGTGTGGGGGTTTGATTGCAAAACCCTTTTCCACTTGACGACTCGATAACAAGAGTAGGCACAACTCCAAAGCATCATGGTGCGTCACGAGATAAGGATGAAACTGACGAAATTGCGGGGGTTGATTACTAACCCCTTTCCGCTCGCCTCCATTTGAGGACTTCAATAAGGGATGGGGTAATAATGCGGGAACAAATGTAAACACACCTGCGCAATACCTACACAGAGGTAGGGTTTCAAACAAACCACACACAAGTAGCACACAATGGCAAATAATGTGGAAATGCCCTAAACAGGTCTTTGAATAAACCAGAGGGGTTCCTGAAATGATCAACAACGGAGACCCCCGTCATACATATCTATTCCTACTTCTCATGGCAAGGGAAGCAGTAAAGTTCCTACTTCTCATGATATCTAGGAAGCAATAAAGAAATGTGGTAAAGTACAAAAAATGTAAAAGTAGTAGCGGAGACTACCAAAAGCAAGCGAATTGTCGAAAATGTACTAAAGCAATGGAGAAGCAGGGAGTACGCGTCGATCATGCTTCACCAAGAAACAAACAAAGTCAGAAACAATATCCAATTAAGATAAAAGCAAACGCATGTTGCAAATGCAATGCCTAATCAGAAGTTCCTGCACAAAGTATCACAAAATATCATATGTATTCAAACAACATATAATATGGTATGAATTTCTCAGGACAATGAGAAATAAGGTGTGTCGCATCAGAAGCAAGCATAAGCCATATGCTTCGATCACATAACAACCTGTTATGTTTACGTGATTGAAAGCACCTAAGTGTACCTTGCACAATGAACAAATGCGTCAAAAATAACTAGGCACAACGGTATGAAAATATGAATAAAAACTAAAAGAAAAAGTATTTTTATTAGTTTTTTATGTGTGGAAAATTCTATCGAAAACTAAAGAATTTATTTCTAGAATTGACCAAAGAGACTTGACAAATCTTGTGGATTTTATAATTTTGTCATAACAAAATCTAAAAAACTAAAAAAAGTCCTAAATCTTAATAAGAAAATATGAGGATCGGGGGGGGGGGGGGGGGGGGGGGGGGGGCGCGTTGGATTCAGGAGGGTGTGGCATAGTAAGCAGCTCTAGGTGCAAGGCTTAAGCTACTTAAGTCCATTAACAGGCATTTTTTATTTGTGTATCAGACTTCCACCAAAAACTTGTGAATTGGGCTTAGGGGAAGCAGATTTAGGTCCAGGATCCAAAGGCAACACCAATCCACATGAATTTTTAACATTATTATTTATTATCATTAAAAGAAAATAAAAATTAAAAGAAAGAAAATATGTAAATATAAAACGATGCAGTTTGGTTGTAGTTAGGGTTAAGTTATTGTGACCTTTCAACTTCATCAAAACCCTCTATTCTTCCTCTCAAACCACCGTTGTGAATGACACCTAAATCTTCTTCTATGAGTAAAAACATCGTCGTTCCTTCGATCTCAACCTCACCGGCACAAATTCCTCCGTCTCTGTTGCTCAGTCTCTCTGTTGTGGATCACTCAACTTCGCCTTCTTCAACGATTCTACTTCCATTTAGCCTTGAGGCTTTGTCAGACACCACCTTCGTCTCAGACTTCATCAAATTCAATTAATATCAGTTGTGATCCCTTTTTCATTCAACTTTTCAAAACCAGAACGATTTCATCTCCATACGGGTCTCTTCTCTTCTTCTTCCCTGTTTCTATTATCATTGATGAAATTTCAGTTATGGTGCTGAAGTGAAGCGTGAAGAATGGAAGATGTGTGAATCTGAGAAAGTTGTTGGAACTGCGGTGATGAAGATTAAATAAAATGTCTGAAGTTCTGCGGTTGTTGATGGAGAATGATGATTGAAGAACAATAGCAGAGAATTATGATGCGTGTGTTGAACTAGAGAGAGATCAAGATCGAATGATGGTGATACTGGTGGTTCAAGGTTGAAGAACAGTAAAGATTGAAACTATTGTGCAGAGAAAGAATTGAGAGATATTTTAGGGAGCTTTTTCTGGTGATTCTTCCTAATGTTGAAGAATCAACATGAATCAGGTAAGAATAAGTTAATATATTCTGTTAGAGATCGAATCGGTTGGAAGTTTTGTCATGCTGTTAAAAGCTAAGTTGGAAAAATCGGTTAGGATAGTTAGAGAGTTGGTTAGTTAGTTTGAATAATTCTGTTACAGCTAGTTCAAAATAGGAAGTTATGACAGTTAGTTGGATAATTGGTTAGAAGGTTGGCAAAGTTATATATTTTATGTTATCGAGCCATTACCATAATTCTATTAGGAAATTGGGCCTGTTTTGATTCTGAATATTTGATTATTTTATTGGTGCTGAATTGATTTTGCAAGCCGAATTGGTATGGCACGAGATTATTTGGCTTCTCATGATTGTTTGGATATTTTTCCATAATTTTCTGCTGTAGAAGCACCTTATGCAGGGTTTAAACTTGAAAATGCTTTATTATTTTCCGTTGTGACATGATTTAAATTGTATAGATGTCTTGTTAATTGATCTGGTTTTGGCTTATTGTTTTGGTGCAGGTTTTGAAGGCATAACATCATGGTTTGGCCCGACTTTGAGGCTAGTTTCCGAGTGCAACAGGTCATGACACTGGACTGTTTTGGAAAGGCCTGACGATCGGGCGTTCATGAGACTTAGAAAGTTAGCACTTCAGGAATTTTAGGAGCATGCTTTGTAATTCTTCTCCTTTTATAAACCTTCTGAATGTAACAGCATGCTAGTTTGTGACTTGCTCGATGTAACTTTGAATGATATTTAAAAGAAGTTCGCCTTTTTGTTTCTAAAATTCTAAAACTCCATGAATAATCCACAGGAACCTTGAAAATTCCATCGAAGCATGCAGAAGAATGTTGTTTTATTCAAATGGCTTCCTTTTTTTTCATTTATTTATTTTGCTGTGATATCTTTGAATGCTTCTTTCAAGGTCCTTGGGTGATGCTTAACCTATTGATATCATAAATAATCCATGTGCTCTTAAGCTTTGAATCATGCCATCCAATTAGCTTGGCAATGTTGAACCCATATCAGATGAATATTACGTTCATCTTTGGTCAAAATTCAACTTTCCAAAGTTGACTTTGACTGAAGACAAGAAGATTGCTCATGTGATGCCTTGAATCAACATTAGTATATCATATCATGATTCCATAAGAAATTAGATCAAAACCCACTTGGATACCATGTTTGTATCTAACTGGAAACTCGACTTCCATATTCACAATAACTTTCATTTTAAGCAATAGTTGATTGAAGAAGATATTCTAGTTGATGAATGATGGATATTGAAACCTTAAGCTCAAACGATAAGATACCTTTTAACCTGATGAGAACTCAATGCAACAACACCCTTAACCCGTTGTCAAACACAAACGCAAAACTGTGATTTACAAGCCTCAAAATAATCTTCATACCTAAGTTCAAACCTCTTGAGTTTTTGAAGAGAAAGCCATTTAGACTTGACTTGTAAAGCAACTGATTATGACAAACCTTTAGATGAAAGTCATGCTTGGAGTTCCTAAGAAATGATGCTCAAGATAGCCATTAAGCCAAACCCTTATTTCATAGGATCTCCAGTTAAAACATCATCAACATTGGGCACAAGAGGTTAGAAACCCTAATTCTTTGATCTTGAAGCTCATTGATGAAGAGAACCATGCAACCTCGAAAAACCCTAATTCCACACCAACGCACAGAGAAAACCAAAATAATCAACCTTATTTGATGTAAACTCTTCAAACCAACTATAAAACCCTAATTCTTCAAGATCTCTTATCCCATGTCAAATTATTGATTAATGATGCATGTTGTGTAAAATGACCTAATGGAGGGTATATACAATGGTGAGAATGAGATGCATAAGCCATATGATTTGATGAAAGGGTAGGATAAATTTGGGGTATTACACCTCTGTTTTTGAAGTAAGAAACCCAGCTAATCTTCTTTCTTCAACTTCAAATTAGAAGAATTGAGCAAGAATTGAGATCTGAGCAAGGAGATTAAGAGAGTTTCAAGAAGAAATTTAAAGGATGAAGATAATTCTGACTTGAGAGAGAGAGGATAGAGCTCGTGTGTGTGAAATGAAATGAAATGAAAGGAATGTGTTTAAATAGGGAGTTTAAGGTGAAGGTAAGATTCTCATTGAGCAAAAGGATTCGTTGGAGGGATTTATGGTCATAATTGAAAAATGAGAAAGTGTGAGGTTCAAGCTTGCGTTTTGTGCTATAAAGATGTGATGTTACTTGCATTTTGATAAGATATAGGAGAGTGAAAATGAGTGAGATTTGCGTGAGTGTATGAGTTGGAATTGTGAGCACATGGGGTGTTTTTTGAATGGAGAGAATATTGCCTCTTTTGAAAAAAAAAACAAGAAAATCACGTATACATGCATATCATGGAGTTGTTTGGATGAATGAGGCAAATAGAATGAGATCAATGGTGTTTATATGACGTGTACAGTAAGGGTCATGCACCAAATTATCTCAATTGTGCACCTACTTTCCATTTCTACCCTGACTTGTTACCAGCATTGTGCACACTAATGTTGCTTCAACCTTAAGCAATATCTCAAGAATCTCTCATGTGTTTCTCATAAAAATAGGGCCTTTGGAAAGCTGAGTTGATGAGCTTTGACATTGATGTTGAAGATTTTTTGAGAGGAAGTTTGCAAACTCTTCAAAATAGAGCACGAAAAATTGTGATTGTTGGTGACCAGACCTGTCAAGCCTCTTGCACGCGTGTGAAATGGCTTGGATGCTTGGCAAAAGTTAAGCTTCATGTCACCTATTTCCCATGACCATATCTTGAAATGTAAGGATTCTTTTGAGAAAGTTCTTGAAGAAAAGTTGTATATGAAACATGGATCTTGATCTTTGTTGTTAATCACTCATCCAAATAATGAATATTTTAAATAGAAAAATGATGATGAGCGTGTTCCCACAAACTGTTTGAAGAAATTCCATGCTTGGCACGCATGCTTGCTAGCAAAATGACATCTTGTGGCTTCAAAACCTAAGCATTGTATCTCCCTCTATAATGCATCAAATGTAAAAATCTTTGAACCAAAATTATACAAGAGACTTCAAACTTTAATTTTGATGTTGAGAACTTTTTGAATTGAATCCATTTAAATCCTCAGAACTGGTCATGAAGAAATCAGACTTAATGCTCATAATTTGGAAATTCACTAAGTGTCAAGAATGTTCCAAGCCACATAACTTAGTCTCCTTTCACTTTTGGGACTTGAGCTCACAAATACAAAGTTGAAGAACTTTTCCTCCTTTTTCAAAGCATGTAAAATTTTCATTTTTTCAATAAAAAATGAAGAAGTTATGAATTTTTGAAGTTCAGCCTTATGAGTTTCCAAACTTAGTAAATTTTCAAATTTCCACCAAGATACCTTCATGAACAAGTTAACTTCAAAATCCATCATTCTCTAGAATTTCTTCAACCATAGTCCATGTGACATTGAAACATAATCATTGACCTCAACTTTGACCACAAGTCCCCTTGGTCAATAATTGAATTTTGTTGACTTTTGCTCAGATGATTGTTTTACCCCTAATTGATCAATTGAACCACTTTAATCAAAATTGATGCTCAATCCTTCAATAATAGGTGCTCATGGACATGTAGATAAGCATGGAATCAATTCTTGCCTAAAAATTTAGAGATATTCTGATTAAATCCAAAATCCTATTTTGGCTCTTTGTGTTAGTAGATGATGATCAAACTTCAAAACCTAATTCCAAGGAACATGATGAGGAATTATTTGAACAAAGATGTCTCATACAAAAATGAGAGGATATTTCTTCACAAATTTGGCCCATACAATTATCAAGCACTTCATCTGGCCAAAACCCTAATCTCAAGAGATGAATAAGAGAACAGTGATTTAAGAATCAACACTTGCAAATTCCAAACTTATGATGAATCAAAAACACAATTGAGATGTCTTGAGATATGTGTAACCCTTGTAGCTTGAGTGACTCAAAGATTGACGGTATTGGACCCTTCTATGCACTGATTGATGGCACAACCATCTTTCATAGCTTGCAGAGGAACTTGGGAACTAAAATACCTTGATCGTATCACAATGTATGAATGCATATGATGAAACATAAGCCTTTAAAGTTCTAAAAATAAGAGGATAATTTTATGGGTGCAATAACTCATTATGCAAGCTCCCTTGATGTTTAAGCACCTATTCATATGCAAAGAATGTTTTATTCCAAGAATGATAATTCTAATGCAAATCTTGTGCTTGTCTTGAAGTTAAAAACTTTTATTGAAAAGATGTCAAAACATGGAGTTTTTCTATACAAAAGAAAGTAAAAATATGGAGTGATACCAACTCAAAGGTTTTAGCAAGCCTCCTAGGAATCAAATTACCATACTCTTGTTACAGTATTGCTTCGAATTAACCCATGCTTCAGTTAGGACTTTCAAGGGTTGTAACGTGGGCTGGTTCACGGTTTTAGAAAAAAGGATTTTAAGGCTAAAAAAATTTGGTACCCACCCATTATCCATGATGTTCTCCATTTCTATGTTCATTTAACTCGATGCAAGCACACATCTCTCACAAGGAGTTTACAAT